TTAATAAACAAATCGTGTTCGGATGAGTCCTGTTAACCCGTTTAAATAAAATTAATATAATAATAAATTAATAATTATTTTAATAAATTAAACAAATTTTTTTTAGTGACACACACACACACATATATATATAACCACTTATTTTTTTTTTAATTTAGTGACAGCCAAAAAAATATAACAATAAATTAAAATTAATCGAGTTAAATGAGTTGTTTTGTATTACCCGTTTATTAAACGGTTCGTGTTCGTGTTTGTGTCGAGATTTTTTATCTATTTATTAAACGAGTTTTGCATGAATTTACATATTTTTCACCCGTCACCCGACACATTTTACACCCTTTATCATACCGCAGTCCGACCCGACCCTCATTTCCTCTGATGCCTTCAACGCATAGAACATCTCTTCTCTCTTTCTTCGTTGCCCACCACGGACTCCCGTCACCCATAGCACCTTACTTCGTGAAATTTTTGCATGCGTATTACACACCACCTGGCCTTACTCACGTGGTGTGCATATCCAATAAGTGCCTTCCCCGTAACCAATTTGTCAGAGAAAATTTTAAAAATGCCAGCTCATCAACCAAGCTATGCTCATGGGCGGAAAATTAACGGGGCAAACTCCAACGAAAAGGTCGCTGTCCTTCTTTTTTTTTTTTTTTTTTGCGGTCAACAATCATTGTCCTTTAACTCTTTCAAAATTTAAAAATTTCAAAATCCACCTCTCCATCACCATTTCTTTCACTCTGTAAATCTTTCCTCTCCCTCCCACGTCACATTTCTCACCCACTATTTGGTTCCCTCTCTCTCTCTCTCTTTGTGGACATCACATCACAGGTGAAGCTAAGTGGAGACCTAACGATATCGAGGGAGGAACTAGTAAGAAGTCGTCACGGTGGAGGATTTCGGCTAAAGATTTCTCCAATTTCTTCTTTGTACAAATCATTGTGTGTGTATTCTGTAATATCTGTTGTATATCTACTTTGAACTTGTTTTGCAAGGGTTGAACTTTATTGAATGAACAGTCAATTGTAATTTGTATTTGTTTTCTCACAAATCCCCCCTCCTCACGCTTTGTGTGTTTACTATAAATTATGAACTAGTTTTGTATTGATTTTGAGATGTAGTTGGTACTACCCAATGGTGGTGAAGGTTTGGCGGTGTGGGTTCTTTATGAATTCAATGGGTGTTGGAGATTTGGTGCCACGCCTGTGTTTGTGGGTAGTGCATAAGGCTGGTTGGTGGAGGTGGAGGGCCTTCTCGGCTTTGAAGTGGTGTTGTTTTATTTTTTTTCCTCACATTTCTTCAATCATGTTTATCATTTGTGCAAAATTCCTCTATTTGTTCGTATGTCTTCAACCCAAACAATTTTGTTATTAAAAAAATTAAAATTCATCACACCGATATTTATTTTCTGTAATAGATCATCGTCAACATATCAAAAAAGAATCGCACAAACTGTCTATTCTATTTCACAATCTGATCATGTCATGAAGGCTGAGAAGGAGTGTTGGATGGATTTTATATGTAGAGATTTTTTTGATCAGTATATGTAGAGATTGAGGTGGGTAAAAATGGGGTGGAATAGTATTGTAGTTTATAACATATGTACATGTTTAATGGGATGGGAAAAGTTTAATGGTTATGTTGAAGTCTTGCCGGAATATAATGAAACTGCTGCTCTGATGAAGCAACTTAGTAATTAGGTTGAGCTTAGGCTATAAAATCTGTTTTTTTTGGAGTTTTAAAGAGGGACAACCCATTAGTTTTATTACAAATTTATGCTACAATTTGTTGGAATTGCATTTTCAGACCGCAATTGATCATGGATTCTTCCATAGAGAACAATGATTTTTTTTTTTTTGTTTTAAGCTAAATCTTAGGATCTCAATTTTAAAAAATGGAGATCAAAGGTTCATCAATTCTCCAAGTTGATGGAATGAATTTTCCATCCTTTCAGATATGAATGAATTTTCCCCAAGTTGCATGAAATAACAACCCATTGATTCAGAGATGAGATAATGTCTCATTTTCCACTGAAAATTTCTCCAAAGCCTCAAATGTCCACATCCATTACTCCAATAAAACCAACTTCTATTGACCACCATTGCATCAGCTCAATGTATCAATTGGAAGTGGAATCACATACAGATCATTAAACCAGATTTCAATAATAATGACATATAAATCAACAACACAATTAGTGAAAATCAAATAACACCCACTTACACCAAACTAATAATGTTTCATTTATAAGAACTTCCCATCAGATAAATGAAAAAAAGAAAAAAATCAGATGCAAAGTCCTAATTTTTGCACCCCACATTGTGTCTGCTTCAAATCCAATATGGTGTAAAGCAAAAACTCACTGTGTATGTTTTTCAAACAAGTGGTGTGCTCAACTAGCTGTCTTACATTATTGGAATGGAATCAAGATCAATTCTATGCAGCATTAGTCTTCACTCTTCACCTTCAAGTCCATGTTCAGCAAATCCATGTTCTGATAACAAAATAACATGGACAAAATAATCAACAAATACAATTTTCTCCTTCATTTCATATATAAAAGTCTACTGCCATCGCCAACTAACACCATTTGCAATTAGTCAAAAATAAGAAATTCCATCTGCCTTCATCTTCTTCTTCTCTATGTTTCCATTTCTCTGAAACTCTGAAATTCTTCATGAAAAATACTGAACCCTTGAATCAACCTGTAAAGAAAAAAGTACGAAACACTTTTAATTTTTTGATTTAGTCATGACCAACATTTGCCTTTACATGATTTCTCATTTTAGAGAAAAAAATGATTGCTTACCAGTTCCTCCACCCACACAACCTGGGTATGTCTAACTCTCCACCTTGTTTCACCGGTGATNCAACCTGTAAAGAAAAAAGTACTAAACACTTTTAATTTTTTGATTTAGTCATGACCAACATTTGCCTTTACATGATTTCTCATTTTAGAGAAAAAAATGATTGCTTACCAGTTCCTCCACCCACACAACCTGGGTATGTCTAACTCTCCACCTTGTTTCACCGGTGATGTCCACCAAGAGAGAGAGAGAGATAATCAAATTGTGGGTGAGAATTGTAGTGTGGGACGAAGAGGAAAAATTTACAGAGAGAGAAATAAATGGTGACGGAGAGATGACTTTTAAATTTTAGAGTTTTTGAAATTTGAAAAGAATAAAATGATGGTTGTCTTTTTCTTGGAGTTTAGTCTATTAACTTTTTGTCTACAAATATAATTGCGCGGCTGAGTTGACTTATTGGTTGGCTAAGTTGACTACTTTTAAAAATTTTCTGACGTGATAAACATTTATACATAGAAAAATTTCTCACTTACTTCTCGTACTGGTCATCGTTCTCCTCCACACCTAAGCCTAGAAGTCACTAACACCCATATCTCTTCCTACTGTCGTCATCCTTCTCTGTCTTTGTCTCTATTCTATCGCTAACTGTCGCTACACCACCATGGCTACCATCAAACCGACCACTACGCCATAAAATCCCTGTCACCCAACAACGATGGCTACAACCAGACCAATGAAAGGCCAATTTATGCACATTCCATGACGGTGATGACAAAAAATTATCAAGGAGAGAGAGACAAAGGAAAAGTGAAGTAGGTTAGCTCTTTAACGGTCTCATTCTCCTTGAATTTCTCGGTTAGCCCCTTAACTGTAAGGCAACACTCGATGAAATTACGGGTTTCATTTCGAGGTAAGGCAATCCCTAGGTTTAGGATGTCGTCTTTCAATTTCGAGATATCAATTTTGCCATTCCTCTCCTTGTTAAATCTCTTAAATATAGCCCTCCAACTCTATAAATTGTAAAAAATTGAAGTGCATTCCGTACGGCGCCTAGGGAGGAAAATACCCAGAAGCTGAGGACAGTGGTGGTGGAGCACCGTATGGGGCTGACGGGGTGGCATATGGGGTGGGCTTGGGTGTAGGGTGATTGGTTTGAGGCGGTGGTGGGGCGGCGTATGGTTGATGGGAGAAAGAGAGAAAAGATAGGAGCAGGGTATAGAATTTATCGGGTTAGTTTTAATTAATTTTATAAGGGTATTTTGAGAATTAAATTCTTAAAATACAGTGGCATAATCAAATTTTGACAGTGTTTCAAATGATTTTTAACGATAAGATTGAATTTATGTGGTATACATGTACAAATTTTAAGGGATGCCAGTGTCATATATAATACTTAATGGGATCTCTATGTTTTAGTGATAAAATTCAAGGGTGTAAATATAATTTAATCCTTAAGAAAAAGATAATTTCATAAAATTCAGATAAAATTTAAAAATTACGAATTAAATGTTTATTATTTTTTAAATGAGTAAGTTTTACCAATTTTTTTAATAAAATTCATTCATTTAAAATATGATAAAAATTTAAATTTTAACTTTAGATTTCATTTGAGTTAACTAAACGCGTTCTTCCGATAAAAAACAAGAAAAGAAAAGCGGTTTAGTGCAATTACCATACGCGTCAAGGGCAATTCAGTCATTTCACTTGATGCGTCCCTTGTCTGGCCTGGCAATCTTTGTCGCATTTACGCACCAGCGCGCAGTTGCTTAAACATAGAGCAAGAGCGAGAGAGAGAGGGGGACACGGAGTGAGTTTCAGGAGCAATTCTTTGAGAGTCATCTCTCTTTCTTGATTTCTGGAATCTGGTGGGTCTGTTGCAACTGAAAACTGTGCACACAGTTCACACACACACACACATTTGCGTATGCATACTAGTGTGTGTATATATTTTGTTGAAGTTTTGATGTTCTGATAAGCGACTATATATATAGAGAGGTGGGTTCTTGAGAATTGTGGAAATGGAGGATGGTAGAATGGAAGGGTGGTTGTATCTCATNGAGCACACAGTTCACACACACACACACACACATTTGCGTATGCATACTAGTGTGTGTATATATTTTGTTGAAGTTTTGATGTTCTGATAAACGACTATATATATAGAGAGGTGGATTCTTGAGAATTGTGGAAATGGAGGATGGTAGAATGGAAGGGTGGTTGTATCTCATTCGTTCCAATCGGTTTGGCTTGCAATACTCGCGGAAGCGATTCTTTGTTCTTCAAGATCACCTTCTCAAGAGCTTCAAATCAGAACCGCTTTCAAAGAACGAGGTCGACTATCCTTCTCTGTTTCCCTCTATATGTATACCCTCAAATGGTGTATATCTGTAGTCATATATCCTTGTAGATACTGTATTATTTTATATCTCCCTTCTCTTTGTTACTTGCTTTTCTTTGAAGACCAGTGGCTTGGTTGGTACATAAATCCATGTCTTGTCGGGTTTCACTATTTTTGAATGAGTAGTTAAGCCACAACTCTGGGTTCGTTATGTATGATTAGAATTCTTTATACGGTATTGAATTGGGAAGTTTTTTTTTATTGAGATTCTTTTAACTGCTGTATATACGTATGTGATAAACGATGTGTAGTATATGGTCATGTTGATTCGTCCTTTTCCCTGATGATAGGAGGCAATGGATTGTTGTTGGGATGGTTTGAATTTGTCGTTTGAGCCTTTTGCTTTCTGGCCTTAATTTTCATAGTGTGGGAAATTACAAGAAGTAATTCAGATTCTGTGTTTTGAGATGATGTCTTTGAGGTTAATATCAGTTAGGCTTCTCCTGTCCATTAGCCCCACATCCCACACCCACAGTGTTGCAGAGTGTGCGTGGTATAAAAATTGTTTTGGAGGGTGGAATAGGTGAGTTGGGGTTAGGAAGAAGCTATCAATGTGAATGTTGAATTTGAGCCCTTGCCGTGAATCCATCATCAACATATATATAGAGGGAGTTAGCTGGAGTATTTCTCATCTGGTATCAATGCATAATTCGATACTGATCTACTGATTTCTATATATTAAAAAATCAATACTTTTAATTTTCAATCATGCATGACGCGAATCCCTACCTTGAAATCATGCTTTCATCACCCTTCCTTGAGATCACGTATGACTCGACTTCTTACTCCCACCAAGGGGTCAGGTAATATTTATTTACTAATGTTTCTAGTGTTTACTCCTCTGTTCTTGTATTACTCCAGCTCATTGATGCAGCGGAACACAGTAAATGTATGACTAACGTCAATACTCAAAGAACCTAGAGCACCAAAGTTAAGAACACTTGGGAAGTCCTCAGCTACCTGTTCTACATTAGTCATCTACAAGGGGACAATTATTAAATATATTATAGCTAATAACGGATGTTTTGAGTAAAAGATATGTGAAGATATATTTTAATCACACATAGTATATATAGGTTGCGTGATCGATCGGTTACTTGTTTGCTTTATTGACAAGAGGCCATCTATCTTCTTGAAAGAGAAAATAACACTACAAGTGCCAAGGTTGGCACAATCCATGTGCACACGAATCAAAAGAAAGCCTAATCAAATGCAACATAAAGCAAAAGAAAGCTTACGATAGAAACAAATACAGATTGAAGCACCCATAGAGATGCAAACAGTAAGTGTCAGTTGATCACTTATCTTTTCAATGTAAAGGCAGCTCTTTATTGAAGTTTCCGATGTTTCCCTTCTATGCTGATACAATTACCCTTTCCTTATAACCCAGGTGAAAAAAATTGCAATATAGATAGTGGAAAATTTGATTCAAATAGAGCATCGGTGTGTAATTTGTATATAGGTCATGGAGCCTGGATCACTTCTTCGATGTCAGATGATGACTGGTGGAGTTTGGTCTTTATTACCTTTATGATCTGATTGGTGGTCCTAGTCCGCTTATAGTTTGATGTGAAGTGAATAAAATTGGTGCAGAGAACTGAGTAATCTGAGAAGGTTCTATACACATTGTCTTGGTATGCTACGCGTGTATTCAGATGCTGATGTTGTTTGGAGGGACTTATTGCCACTTGTTCGATGTCCTAAAATCTCTTGCCTTTTAGTTTTGACCATGTTTCATATGAAGTCTTAATGCCTATAAGGCTTTCCGGCTATTCTTAAGACAAAAATTGTTTATATGCTAAAAGAGAGGTAGGTCACTGAAACTGGTTCATTGCTGCTTTAGACAATTCAATTGCATGCGGAAATGTTTGTGGGGCTATGTGAGTGACTATTTTCCTAATTAGTTGGAATTCAACCAAATCAGGTCAAAGGCATGTTATCAAGCTGGTAACAGCTGGCTGAAACCATAATAGCATGTCTGTGAATCTCACAAACACAACCAGTTATTCCAATTGTTCACACGTATTGCTAATGTTTTGCACTTGGCTTTATGTTCATCTTGATTTTTTGGGAAGTTTTCCACTTACAATTACTGTCTTTTTGCTATTCTCCATTTTGCACCTTCTCCAAATCATCAGGTACAATATCTTATACCCAAAATGTTGCTTCTTTTACCAGGATCCTATTAGAAGTGCAATTATAGATTCCTGCATTCGGGTGACTGACAATGGCAGAGAGAGCATTCAGCGAAAAGTATGAATTTTGTGCCAGTTTTGTATAGGATGGTGATAATTATTTCTGGTTGATACATTCTTATTAGGTTGTTGCATTGATATGTTGGATTCTATTTTCTTACTGAAGTAATAATTTGTCTGTACATGCAGGTCTTCTTCATTTTTACGCTTCACAATACTTCTAACAACAATGATCACCTGAAGGTGCGCAAACTTTCTTGTCCAGAAATGCAGTTTCATTATTTTACATTTACCACCTCTAATGCATAAGATGTAAAATCTTATAGTTTGGAGCAAGCAGTCCAGAAGAAGCTGCAAGATGGATTCAGTCCTTTCATGAAGCAGCTTTAAAGGTCCAACATGCTTAGTTTTTCTGTGTTAGAATTCTTATGCTGGAGGGGAGACTAATAGTTTTGAGTAAATGTAGGCGGACCTGAACTCAAAAGATATTGTGGATTGTTCGAAGCGTGAATGGCAATCTGTGAGGTGTATTGATGTGATATCTAGCATGTCTATCTTGCAAGAAAGTACTTCATTTATGACTTATCTTTTCCACCCAGATGTGACTTTTTCATTTGGCAATTGGCATGTATGTTTTTATGAGCAATTTAAACATGCTTAAAACCATCACCAAAAACAAAAACAAAAACAAAAAAAACATTTGCTAAATGTAGAATTAGTTGGAGCTGGTGTGATACTTTCATGCAGGCTCCTATATTTTGACCTTCTATTATCTGTTGTCCATGGGTTAAACTGTTCCAGCAGAGTACGTCATGCAAACTCCATAGATTGGACTCTTTGTTCATCCTCACTCACAGATCCAATGGCATCTGATGTCATCGCTCCTTCACCTTGGACAATATTTGGTTGTCAGAATGGTAAGCGTTAAGTTTATATGTTTGCCTTTAGGGTGGTGGAAATTGCATGTTTAATAATTCATGTTTGCAGGTCTCCGTCTGTTTAAAGAAGCAAAAGATAGGGAATGTTATGGGAAGGTTTGTTGCATTTGAATTTGTATTTAATTTTCCGTAAAACTACTTGTTGAATGTGCTCCTATTCATCACAGTGGGATGATCATCCTGCAATAATGGCTGTGGGTGTGGTGGATGGAACTTCAGAGGACGTTTTCCAAACGCTTATATCTCTTGGTCCTTCAAGATCGGAGTAAGTTTTCTTAATCTCCCTTTAATCTTCTGGTAGTGAATCAGTTACCTTCAACCTTTCTTAATGGCCGCCCTGGTGGGACAATGATGTCTTACTTGTAAATGTAGTTGCCAGAGATGTGATCTTGGGACAGGTTTTACCATGACTAAGAATTTTCTTACCAAACAAATATGAGAATTTGCATTGCTAATGAAAATTGGTATGAGTATATACCTGGAAAATATGAAAGAGACTAATATAGGAGGTCTGTAGTCTTAACGTCACTCCCAAACTGGCAAAAACATTTGCTCTCGCTACAACTTGGAAAATTCTATGTACATAGTTTCTATTAGATGCAAGTGACTCATATATTGAGAAAAAAAAAAAAGAACTTTCAAGTTTTTCTATCTTCTATGATCCACTTGACTGTGTAAAACGATCACCTTCCAAAGTGATATTGTGGAATCCCAGATTAGAATGCCCTTGCAGTGGCGCCACTAAAGCAATCACTTAATGGTTGTGGCCATAAGATTTTGATAATAAATTGATGATAATGCTATCATCATTCCTTGTTAACCTTCCTGATACTGATCTTCTTCCTGGTTTTCAGTATGACTAATAGTACAATGCTTCCAAACATTTTCCAATAATTTACATTCAGATGTTAAGTCCATCTAGCCTTTTGTCTTCTCATTTGATAACGGTGTGACATATTGTTTGTCTTGCAGATGGGACTTCTGTTTCTTCAAGGGTAGTGTGATTGAGCATCTTGATGGTCATACCGACATTGTTCACAAGCTTTTGTATGGCGATTGGCTACCTTGGTCTGGTCGATACCTTCAATCTTGTAGTAGATGTCCCCATACCTTTGTTCCAGAACATATATTAGAATATAGGACCTGATATTCTTATTTTCTACTTTGCAGGGGAATGAAACAAAGAGATCTACTTTTGCGGCGTTATTGGAGAAGAGAGGATGATGGAACATATGGTGATAAACTTTTGGGTCAAATTTAAATGACAATATCACCTGTAATTCCATGAAATCAGAAAGTAACTTTACCATGGTTTACTCAATCGCAGTTATTCTGTACCACTCCGTGTTTCACAAGAGATGTCCACCTCAGAAGGGCTATGTTCGTGCGTGCCTTAAAAGTAATGTATGCTTAAAATTTGGAAATAAAGGCAAAATTGTCATAGTTGTTTTGCAGTTTCTTGTACCATTACATTATAACGGAAATATATGCAAAAAGAATTTTAACATTTAGTCGACTCCAAATAATTGGAACAAGGCTTTTTTCAGTTTGTATAATTCTAGTATCTGCTCTGATGTTATATTTTGACCTTGTGGTACACAAAAAAACTTCTTTGTTTTTGTGCTATTGCATGTATTGGGGTATGGGGTGTTTATGCATGCATGATTTTCTATGGCTTATGCTTTTTGGCATAGGCTGCTCCCAAGATCTTAGGTTGCATTCGTCATTGCTGCTGCTCTTGCAATTCTTATTATGAGATTACTCGACTTGCGTATAATCTAGTTATTGTGGTGTAATTTAGTTTTAGATTTGTAAGGACCCATGTTTTTGTTAGAGATATTACATAGTCTTAAGTTATTCCACAAATAAGATGACATCCTCTGCTCTTCTGGCAGGTGGAGGGTATGTCATATCTCCAGTGAATCGTGGGAAGCAATCAGTTGTAAAGCACATGCTTGCTATTGATTGGAAATCCTGGAAATCTTATCTACAGAAGTCTTCAGCTCAATCTATTACAATACGCATGCTAGGGAGACTTGCTGGTATGCTTCTTTTTAACACATTCATACTCTAATGCAATTATTCATGAATTCACTTGTTTTTATTCTAGAAATCTTCTTCGTGTAAAATCAGTAGTCATATTTATGTACCTGCAGCATTACGGGAGTTATTTAGAGCAAAAACAGGAGATTACTCATCCTCTGATTTTTCATCTGGTGAGTTGTTGAGGGATAGTAGATTACGTCAAAGTGACAAAAATATTAAGGTTGAAGTTCAAACAAGGGGTGGAATAGCTAAGGAAGATATGGAGGAAGAAGAAGTTGTTAAAACGCCTTCAGAATATGCGAGCCTTGTAGGACTGAATGATGCAGCANAGGATATGGAGGAAGAAGTTGTTAAAACGCCTTCAGAATATGCGAGCCTTGTAGGACTGAATGATGCNAAGATATGGAGGAAGAAGAAGTTGTTAAAACGCCTTCAGAATATGCGAGCCTTGTAGGACTGAATGATGCAGCAGATGAGTTCTTTGATGTCTCGGAACCATTGGATAATGAGCCATCAGAAGATGGTTGGCCTTCTGATTTGGGTCCAGAAATGTATTCTCAGGTACCTGCTAATCTTTCACGTTTGTCACATGTTTTCTTTTTTTTCTTTTTTTTTTTTTTGGGGGGGGCGCTGGGTGAGGCGGAGATATTGGTGGTTCAGGTTGGGAGCAGCTGCATGAATTACACCGCCCTAGGTTTGATTGCAATCAATTTTCATATAGAATAGAGAGAACTTTCATACTCTGTTGACTTAATGGGAATAATCTAGATGAGGCAAAAGTGCCTTGTTCAGAAATTTTATGGTATAAACTTTAAACAATTTAGCGACCATCCTTGCTTTTTAATGATTGATTGCATAGACTCTAGCTAGAGCTAGGAACTGTAGCTGAGGATATATTTATACACTGGAATTTATGCAAATTGGTAGTTGTGTCTTTATCCGGTTATGCATTGAATTGACTGAATGGTGGGGACCCTTCCTGAGAACTCGTACAAGCACATGCTAGTTTTTGTCCTTATGATTAGAGGTAGACAATCTGCAATCTGGACACATTAAGTAATTTTGAACAATTTAATTTTGCTGCCTATCTCACATTGCACATGATTCAGCTCACAAAACTATTCATAGGCTCATGGTTCTCTAGTTCCTTCACTTCCTTTAAAAAAACATAAAGAAAATAAGAAAATGCTAATTTGATTGGGCATTGAGTATCACAGGACATACATCATCCCAAGTTATCAAGTGCTGCTGGTTTTGTGAAAAAATTGCATGATCTTGCAGGTGAGTCCAATTGAGGTGATCAATTGAAAACTAATGGTTAATTTCTCCTGTTCCTGTTCTTATTTCATAAGATAGTTTCCAGTGGTTTCTTGGATCACAGAGGCTCAAGATCTTTGTATGCTGCAGTTCATAAGAGGGGTTATGTGGACTTACAAGAGATGGCAAGGGCAGACGGTCTCTCATGCAATTATGGAACCACTCTTCCAAAAGACCCAACTTGGAATTTGCCTTGTAGTTGGATAGCAGCGGACCCCTCTACATTTCTAATCCGTGGAAAGACTTATCTAGAAGACCATAAGAAGGTGCCCACCCATATTTTACTGAAGTTTCGAAACGAAGATGGATTATCCTTGTCCAAAGATATTGCAAAAGAAATTCATCGTAGTCGACTTGATTTTCAAAATGAAGTTTACAATCTTTTTCCAAGAAAATTGTACTGTCTATTGGAATATTTGACTAATCTCCCTTGGATTAATATAGTTAAAAGCTCGACTATAAATTTTGAGGAAACATATTACTGATATTGCCCAATGTGTGTTCTGTTCATACTATCCAGCAACAGAAAAGCGACAGATTCCAGTTGTTTGTTATGGGTTGGTCTTGCANTTGAGGAAACATATTACTGATATTGCCCAATGTGTGTTCTGTTCATAATATCCAGCAACAGAAAAGCGACAGATTCCAGTTGTTTGTTATGGGTTGGTCTTGCAATTCTCAAAGGCATTTTTCCGCTAACAATTGGATGAGAGTTGTGGGTTTCCTGTTTAGAAATTCAACATTGCATTCGATTTTTATCTCCTTAGCTCTCTATCTAACCCCCTAACCAAAGTTATTTTTTTCCTTTTCTTTTGTTTAGTTGGTTATTTGGTGCAAATGAACCTACATCACCTCCCTCTGTTGTGGCCAAATTTAGCAGTATGGTAAAACAACTGCTGTCAGTAGAGAAATGACTTGTTTTTATGCAATATATTATGAAAACTTGCATGCTGATACTTGAAACCTAGTTCTCTGTCCCAGACCCCACCACGACCACACAGGTGGATCCCAATCGAGGTCAGGCTTGTTGGTTTTCTGGTCTGGTGTGCCCTGCACTGTGATTTTCAAAGCCGTAGATTTGTGAGACTAAGGAAATCTATATTGAGCACGAGTAGAATATAGGTTATCTCTGAAGTGCTTCTGTCCATCCATGTGAAAAATTATCAAACTGTCGATTTTCAGATATGGTGATAGAGTTTCAGTTGCTAGTTGTTATTCAATTGCTTTTATCCTTTGTACTTCTTACCAGATTAAGGCAAAAGGTTCATTGATGCAAATGGTTGCTGCGGATTGGCTGCGATCTGACAAGCGAGAAGATGATCTTGGTGGCCGCCCTGGGAGCATAGTTCAGGTTTTCTTGATATTTCTCATAAATACGTTAATTGGGATTCTTGTGCCACTAGTTAAATCTTGTACAAGTTGACTCTTCTCATTCACTTGATAGTATACATGATTGAAATAAAGTTTAATAGCTTTGTTTTTCAGAAATATGCAGCAAAGGGCGGTCCAGAATTTTTCTTTATTGTGAACATACAGGTAAACTTAGTCTATGCTTCTTTTTTTGTTTTGGTTCATGCTTCCTATTTCTATGTATAGAAAAAAATCAATTTTTAACTTTGAATATTTCATTGAATTAGGTGCCAGGTTCCACAACATACAGTCTTGCCCTATATTACATGATGGGTACTCCTGTAGAAGACACACCCTTGCTAGAGAGCTTTATTGGAGGCGATGATGCACATAGAAATTCGAGGTTTAAGCTCATACCATACATATCTAAGGTTAGTAAAATTGGTTTGCTTGGACCTAAATTTTGTAACGAGGTCATATGTTTTTTTTTNTACCAGATTAAGGCAAAAGGTTCATTGATGCAAATGGTTGCTGCGGATTGGCTGCGATCTGACAAGCGAGAAGATGATCTTGGTGGCCGCCCTGGGAGCATAGTTCAGGTTTTCTTGATATTTCTCATAAATACGTTAATTGGGATTCTTGTGCCACTAGTTAAATCTTGTACAAGTTGACTCTTCTCATTCACTTGATAGTATACATGATTGAAATAAAGTTTAATAGCTTTGTTTTTCAGAAATATGCAGCAAAGGGCGGTCCAGAATTTTTCTTTATTGTGAACATACAGGTAAACTTAGTCTATGCTTCTTTTTTTGTTTTGGTTCATGCTTCCTATTTCTATGTATAGAAAAAAATCAATTTTTAACTTTGAATATTTCATTGAATTAGGTGCCAGGTTCCACAACATACAGTCTTGCCCTATATTACATGATGGGTACTCCTGTAGAAGACACACCCTTGCTAGAGAGCTTTATCGAAGGCGATGATGCACATAGAAATTCGAGGTTTAAGCTCATACCATACATATCTAAGGTTAGTAAAATTGGTTTGCTTGGACCTAAATTTTGTAACGAGGTCATATGTTTTTTTTTNATTGCTTTTATCCTTTGTACTTCTTACCAGATTAAGGCAAAAGGTTCATTGATGCAAATGGTTGCTGCGGATTGGCTGCGATCTGACAAGCGAGAAGATGATCTTGGTGGCCGCCCTGGGAGCATAGTTCAGGTTTTCTTGATATTTCTCATAAATACGTTAATTGGGATTCTTGTGCCACTAGTTAAATCTTGTACAAGTTGACTCTTCTCATTCACTTGATAGTATACATGATTGAAATAAAGTTTAATAGCTTTGTTTTTCAGAAATATGCAGCAAAGGGCGGTCCAGAATTTTTCTTTATTGTGAACATACAGGTAAACTTAGTCTATGCTTCTTTTTTTGTTTTGGTTCATGCTTCCTATTTCTATGTATAGAAAAAAATCAATTTTTAACTTTGAATATTTCATTGAATTAGGTGCCAGGTTCCACAACATACAGTCTTGCCCTATATTACATGATGGGTACTCCTGTAGAAGACACACCCTTGCTAGAGAGCTTTATCGAAGGCGATGATGCACATAGAAATTCGAGGTTTAAGCTCATACCATACATATCTAAGGTTAGTAAAATTGGTTTGCTTGGACCTAAATTTTGTAACGAGGTCATATGTTTTTTTTTTCCCTTTGTTGGCTGGAATATAAAAACAAATAATATACTCCCACTTTCAGAAATTCAAGGGAAAAGAAAGGAAACACTACTTTTATTTTGATTTATAAAGGCATCTTTTGATTATCACTTACTTCTTATTATGTGATCCTGAACCACTCTTCCCATTTGGATTTTTCATTTCTTTAGTAAGTAAATGATTTGGGAACTAGATATCATGTCCTAGTCAAGAGAAGAGGTGTTAGTCTTTAGATGTTAGTGGTTCTTTCTCCTCTAAATATTAGTTCTGTCTCGTTTTTGAAAACTGGCGAACCTTCAGCCTTTCCTCTGATAGTTTCAATTGGAATTTAGAAGGGAGGTCCAACCTTGGTCGAGGTTTATTTAGCCCACATATAATTTAGTTCCAATTGGACATCTGTCTAGAAGACCCAATAGTGGTCTTTGTAACACCCTTTGCTTCAATCTGAAAATATAATTCAAGAATAACACATTTTGTCTCGCAAACCTGCTATTAATATTTAAAAACCAATCTTGGCAAAATATATAACATAGTCCACTTTTATATAAAAAAAATACACAATTGCGGGCACACCGGCCCGTTACCATATTAATCATTTACACAAAAGTTACATAAGTACGAGCACATCGACTCATACTAGCAAAATATTCCAGTCCCAAAAATATTTTTTTAAAGTGTTGTTACACGCCAAAAATAACCACTCAAGTTATATACAAGCCAAAAGGAAAAAGAATAAAAATTGAGATGAGCCCCTTTTTTGACAACTTCCGACTAAACCTCTGGTTTCAGCAGTGAACTTCATGCTTGTGTTCAGATTACCTGAAAACATTTCAAATAAATTTTTTAGTGAGGATCCAACAACTTCCCATAAATAGAGCAGAAAATAACAAGATATACTAATTCATCGATAGAAATCTATTATTCATAATCCCGTAATTTTAACACGAGATCTTATCTCGTTGCCCTACAGCCTCACACAGAGATAACCATTTTGCCATTCAAGCAATGTACACCGCAAGATTATATTATCACATAGATACCATTCGTCACTCAGACAACCCAACACAATATTAGTTATATCTTTCGGACAACCCATAACACATCGTCAACTCTTATTCTCGTCACTTAGACAATTCAAACACAACTTATCTTAGTCACGAAGATGACTCATAACACTTAATTTATTTTTAGTCATGTAGATAATTCATCCTAACAGTGAACTCGTCATTGAAATGACTCTACCACACAGGTAATTTACGTCACGTAGACATTCGTCGTTTAGACGTCCCAAACCATTTAGCTTTCCTTCTTCTCATCACTAAGACAACTCATATCAAACATTTAATTCCCATCATTTGGATGACTTACAATCACTTTATGTCCTCTTGTCACGAAGACAACTCAAAATCGAACACTTAGTTCCTATCACGTAGACAATTCAAAGTCAAACACTTAATTCCTGTCATGTAGACAACTCACAATCGAATACTTAGTTTTCGTGAATAATTCCTGTCATGTAGACAACTCATAATCGAATACATAGTTTCCGTCACGAAGACGACTCATATGCAACAATTATTTTTCATAATATCTATGTCGTCGTAAGGACGAATCATGTTCACAAGTTTACCAACTGCGCACTCAAATTACATCACCACCACTCCCCACCCCACCACCACCTGCACCACTACCACCAGCGCTCCACCATCACCACCACCTCTTCCACCACCCCACCACCACCCCCACGACCATCATCACCAACCCACCACCGCCAGTCCCACCACCCCTACCCTCACTGCTCCACCATTACCATCGCCATCTACCACTGATTCCTACCATTATCGTCCACTGTCACCACCCATCATCATCATTATGTTATTCTTATATATATTTATCACCATTACCATCATCATCCCACTAATACCGTCGCCCACCGTCAGCACCCACCACTACCATTGTTGTCCACCATCACTCATTACCACAACCCACCAACACCCCGTCGTCACCCACCATCACTACCAACCACTGTTACCCATCCCCACCACACCTACCACCACCACCAGTCATCGCTTACTACTGCAGCCACCCACTGTTACCTAACCCCACCACACCTACCACCACCACCACCCGTCATCGCCCATCACTACAGCCACCTACTGTCACTTACCCCCACCATACTTACCACCGCCGTCATTCGCCATCACCCATCACACTATTGCCTAAAAACACCCATCGTCATCCACCAACACCATCGTCACCGCCAACAACCACAATCGTCGTCCCACCACCACCACTGCCAACCATCATCACTATCGTCCACCACTACCCACACCCACCACCACCACCACCACTGCTGTCACCCACGGCTGTCACTACCATTATCGTCACCCAAAATCCACCACCACTGCTGTCACCCACGGTTGCCACTACCATCATCGTCACCCAAAATCCACAACCACCACCACCATCATTGTCACCCAAAATCCACCACCATCACAATTGTTACTCCCGTCTGTCACCACCACCACCATTGTCATCACCCACCACAACCATTACTGTCTCCCCCCATCACCACTGTCGCCTACCACCACTAACACTGCTCACCCCCATTACAATCTGTACTTAAATTTATTTATCTCTCTTTTATGTTTATGATTTGATTTTGGGTGTGAATACAAATATATTTATTGTTGACTTTTTTTTATTACTCAGTGCCTTCAGGCACGAGAAATAACTAGTATATATATACCATATATTTTGAAATACCAAATATGTACATATAATATACACCACCAATATCTATTTATACCTACATGTATAAATATGTATTGTGCTATGTATATATGCACTGGGGCGGCTCAATAGAGTTATTAAAAAAGCTTGGACTTTAGGCTCCATTTTTAAAGAAAACCCAAAATTTTTAGATCTCAGAAATAGTCCATATAAAAAAATTAAATTCATAAATATTTTAAGCCCTACAAAGAGGCCTTATAAAAACACAAGTTCAATCAAAAAAAATTTAAGGTCTCACTTTAAGGAAGACCCCATAATTTATAGGTGTGGAGTAATAGTCCAAACAAAAAATTTAAATTCATGCCCAAACAAAAAATTTTAACTTAAGTAGATTGGCACTATTAATTCAACCGTGAAATTAAATGCCATAAAATTAATTTTTTTAAATAAAGAAAAAAAAAATTAACTGTAAAACTAAAGCTACTAAAAAATCTAGTTTTAACCCCCAAAAAAGTGAAGTACCATCATAATTTTTCAATTATTCTTTCTCTCTTACCATTAAGTTTTTTTTTTTTGGATCAAGGAAATGGGGGAGAGAACGATCTACTGATCCCTTCTAGGCATGATCATAAGGGTCTCTCCCAATGTGAAATTCGGTTAGCCATAGCAACAGACTCCTTGGGAGTAGTCCGTCACCACACCACCACCACCAAATCCTAAGTAGCAAGACATGGGGATCTCGTGAATCAAACTCTATTTGATAACCACTTGAGAGTCAAGGACTCTGAAACGGGCATGTCTTACCACTAGACTACCAGCTTTGGTGGTACCATTAAGTTCAAATATAGTAACAAAACTTGAATATAAAATTTTAATTAATATTTTTGCATTTAAAAAAATTAAAAATTAAATTTATTATTAATATTAAAAATAAAAAAACCTCATTTATCGTTTCCACTTTAAGCCCCTATGCACATGTATATATCCAAATTGGTAGTAACCTCTTAATTTATATTGCTAACTTTTATTCCACTTCTTATATACACTAACATATATATTTGTAGTAATATGTTAATATCACATGTTTGCTGGCCACTTAATTTTACATGGACTAACATGTATAAAATAATAAAATCATGTCACACGCAAACATCCTCTTTTAATTTTTTTCACATTCAATCAATGTTTCTTATTAATTAATAGTTACCTATCATACAAATTCATATCACATGCGAGCATGCTTGTAATAAATATTTGATATGATCGTTATACGTGTTCTACAGTCTTAGCCTGGACCTCTGGAACTGCAAACCATTGAACCATGTTTCCCTTCATTTCTGTAGTTTCTTACACCTTTTGGATTAGAGTGTTGCCTTAGTGAGCATTTGTTGCCATTGTTCATNCGGGTCTTACAGTCTTAGCCTGGACCTCTGGAACTGCAAACCATTGAACCATGTTTCCCTTCATTTCTGTAGTTTCTTACACCTTTTGGATTAGAGTGTTGCCTTAGTGAGCATTTGTTGCCATTGTTCATGTGATACCTCAGGACATGGAATCCTTACATGCAATTTCTTTCAGTGGCTTTTGTAACATGGGAGAGAATCAAGATTTTGTGGCAGGCTGCATCTACAGCTGAGGTGTTGGTTGTTTTGGATGGTAAGGAATCATAGATTGTTTGACTACGAGGAGTCTTCTTGTAAGGATATATGGGAAAAATTGAGCTCTAGGCTTCACTTTGGGTTTTTGTAACAAAAGAGTTCACAGGTGTTGAGGCATCTGGCTGCTCAAGGATCACTCAGGGATTAATGTTCTTAGGTTCTCCAAACCATTTGTAATGCCTGTGCAATTAAAGATAGGATCTGAGTTCCATTTTGACGTCTCATGGAACCACCTGCCTTAAACCTGCAGTAATTTTTAATCTAGAATGATTCAGACCTTTAGTAATAAGCTGGGATGGATTTTGTTCTGTTGGACTCTGGATTTCTAATCACATTCTGAATTGTTTTTGGGGTTTTATGTGACTTTTAGAGGTGTAGATAAGAGGGATGTCTCAGTGCCAGTTGAGAGCAGACTGTTGGGCTAAATAGGGGGGACACCCTCCTTCGTTTAAGGGGTCATTTATTTGGCTTGAGGGTGAGTTGTGATTTTGGCTACGTTTTTTTGTGGTTGGGTTTCTAGTTTCTATTTGGTGGGTTGTCTTTGTATTCCTTCCTTGTTTTCATTGTGAATTTGAATAAATTCTACCTTATTATTGAGAAGCTGCTCCTGCTTAAGGAAAGAGAAATAAATAATTTTATGATCATTCAATGTCTTTCATCGATAGACAAGTAAGTTGTTGTACTGGCCCTTTAACATTTTCTTTTTTTGATGGGAAACAACATTTTATTGATAATTAAGGGAAATATTACAAAAAGACTACATCAAGTGTGGACAAGAGGGGTCCAACACAAGATTGGCCCTCCTTAATTGACTGTTTGTTTTCTCAGGGGTCATGGATTGTCAAGCAGAGTGTTGGAAAGAAAGCATGCCTTGTGGGTCAAGCACTCGAAATCAATTATTTCCGTGGGAAAAACTACTTGGAGGTAAGTACACGAGTAACTGTAAATTAGAAGGAAGACAAAGTTTCTACTTTTACTTGCATGTTTGCTACTCAGATACTGGCTATGGGTTTATCCCCTTGCACATGCATTGGTCAAAAAAGCAAGAGGGGGAGGGGTGTCCTTATATAAATTATCTTTAGCAGTATAATTCTATATTAGTCTTCATCATAGAGAGTGCCGCCGCAATAAGACTTGAGGCCTATAGTGTTTGTGTTTAGAATGGTCCCTAAAACTCTTTTTTTGGATTGGATTACTTTATTTTTTGTATTTTTGAAGTTCTCACATCGAAATTTGTTGTTTTTAGTATGTATATTTTAGTTAGAAAATTACTTGCAGAACAAACACCTTATATGAATGTTTATATTAAAATTAAAAAAAAATAAATTATAGAGTTCTAGAAAATAAAATTGGGTAAATAAGCCGGAGTCATAGAACTCAAAATAAAATTGAGAGTAGGGTCGCGTATTTTCTTGTAAAAGAATATTGTGCGATTTTCTTTTTGAATTTATTATAAATTTGCATATAAAATTAATTTGTATTTTTGAGACGGAGAAAAACAAAAAAAAGCGAGAAAAAATGCATGAGATATGAAATATAAAGGGGACAAAAGACTTATTAAAGAGAGGAAAAAAACCATGCCATGGTAAGGATACCCATCTTCTTTTATAATGAGCAATAATATCCCAGTACTACAACTGACAGCCTTTTGCAAGAAAGAATTTGACCCTAGGCGAGTGGGGGCACTAGGCAAACGCTGCCAGGGTTTGAGTTGACACTGACCATGAAAAATATAAAATACTAGACTGTCCTTGTTCATAAGATTAATACATAATTACACTGGTGCCTTGATCTGATGCATTGATTGGCAACAGAATAAATTGGAGCGCCTCTATTTAGAAAGAGCTGTCAGATATACTGTGTTGAATTTTTAACATGCATACATAGCATGAGAATTAATCCTATTTCATAATTCATTAAGTATGAAATATTCAATTTTGATTTCAGCTTGGGATTGATATTGGTTCGTCAACGGTTGCAAGGGGTGTGGTCAGCCTCGTTCTTGGTTACCTGAACAACCTAGTCATTGAAATGGCATTTCTTATACAGGTAAATCAGCTATATCATAGTATTTTCTTATACAGGGAAATCAGTTACATCAAATTATTTTTGACAGAAAGTTCTTCAATTCTTTATTTTGTATCCCTTGTGCATAAATTGTCTGAAAATGGCAAAGGCTTGATAATTTCACCATGAATTATCTTTAGTTAAAAATGAAAAGCAAAAGCTAATATACCTGTTGGTAACGTTTTTTAAGTAATTTTTTAAAAGCAGAAAAAAAAAACAGTTTTATCCAGAAAGTAAAAGCATGTTTAGTTGATATTTTGCATTGATGATCTGTATGCATTTTACTATACTAAGATTGACTAGTGTACATGCATATATATATATATAATATAGAGATGCTTCAGATTAGAGAAAGTGACCAAGTTCGAACAAGAAGATATGTGGACACATTTTACTATACGAAGATACACTAGCGTACATGCATATATGTATAATATAGAGATGCTTAAGATTAGAGAAAGAGACCAAGTTCAAACAAGAAGAAATTAAAAAAAAAAAAAAANGTTGTGATTTTGGCTACGTTTTTTTGTGGTTGGGTTTCTAGTTTCTATTTGGTGGGTTGTCTTTGTATTCCTTCCTTGTTTTCATTGTGAATTTGAATAAATTCTACCTTATTATTGAGAAGCTGCTCCTGCTTAAGGAAAGAGAAATAAATAATTTTATGATCATTCAATGTCTTTCATCGATAGACAAGTAAGTTGTTGTACTGGCCCTTTAACATTTTCTTTTTTTGATGGGAAACAACATTTTATTGATAATTAAGGGAAATATTACAAAAAGACTACATCAAGTGTGGACAAGAGGGGTCCAACACAAGATTGGCCCTCCTTNACTTTTCTTTTTTTGATGGGAAACAACATTTTATTGATAATTAAGGGAAATATTATAAAAAGACTACATCAAGTGTGGACAAGAGGGGTCCAACACAAGATTGGCCCTCCTTAATTGACTGTTTGTTTTCTCAGGGGTCATGGATTGTCAAGCAGAGTGTTGGAAAGAAAGCATGCCTTGTGGGTCAAGCACTCGAAATCAATTATTTCCGTGGGAAAAACTACTTGGAGGTAAGTACACGAGTAACTGTAAATTAGAAGGAAGACAAAGTTTCTACTTTTACTTGCATGTTTGCTACTCAGATACTGGCTATGGGTTTATCCCCTTGCACATGCATTGGTCAAAAAAGCAAGAGGGGGAGGGGTGTCCTTATATAAATTATCTTTAGCAGTATAATTCTATATTAGTCTTCATCATAGAGAGTGCCGCCGCAATAAGACTTGAGGCCTATAGTGTTTGTGTTTAGAATGGTCCCTAAAACTCTTTTTTTGGATTGGATTACTTTATTTTTTGTATTTTTGAAGTTCTCACATCGAAATTTGTTGTTTTTAGTATGTATATTTTAGTTAGAAAATTACTTGCAGAACAAACACCTTATATGAATGTTTATATTAAAATTAAAAAAAAATAAATTATAGAGTTCTAGAAAATAAAATTGGGTAAATAAGCCGGAGTCATAGAACTCAAAATAAAATTGAGAGTAGGGTCGCGTATTTTCTTGTAAAAGAATATTGTGCGATTTTCTTTTTGAATTTATTATAAATTTGCATATAAAATTAATTTGTATTTTTGAGACGGAGAAAAACAAAAAAAAGCGAGAAAAAATGCATGAGATATGAAATATAAAGGGGACAAAAGACTTATTAAAGAGAGGAAAAAAACCATGCCATGGTAAGGATACCCATCTTCTTTTATAATGAGCAATAATATCCCAGTACTACAACTGACAGCCTTTTGCAAGAAAGAATTTGACCCTAGGCGAGTGGGGGCACTAGGCAAACGCTGCCAGGGTTTGAGTTGACACTGACCATGAAAAATATAAAATACTAGACTGTCCTTGTTCATAAGATTAATACATAATTACACTGGTGCCTTGATCTGATGCATTGATTGGCAACAGAATAAATTGGAGCGCCTCTATTTAGAAAGAGCTGTCAGATATACTGTGTTGAATTTTTAACATGCATACATAGCATGAGAATTAATCCTATTTCATAATTCATTAAGTATGAAATATTCAATTTTGATTTCAGCTTGGGATTGATATTGGTTCGTCAACGGTTGCAAGGGGTGTGGTCAGCCTCGTTCTTGGTTACCTGAACAACCTAGTCATTGAAATGGCATTTCTTATACAGGTAAATCAGCTATATCATAGTATTTTCTTATACAGGGAAATCAGTTACATCAAATTATTTTTGACAGAAAGTTCTTCAATTCTTTATTTTGTATCCCTTGTGCATAAATTGTCTGAAAATGGCAAAGGCTTGATAATTTCACCATGAATTATCTTTAGTTAAAAATGAAAAGCAAAAGCTAATATACCTGTTGGTAACGTTTTTTAAGTAATTTTTTAAAAGCAGAAAAAAAAAACAGTTTTATCCAGAAAGTAAAAGCATGTTTAGTTGATATTTTGCATTGATGATCTGTATGCATTTTACTATACTAAGATTGACTAGTGTACATGCATATATATATATATAATATAGAGATGCTTCAGATTAGAGAAAGTGACCAAGTTCGAACAAGAAGATATGTGGACACATTTTACTATACGAAGATACACTGGCGTACATGCATATATGTATAATATAGAGATGCTTAAGATTAGAGAAAGAGACCAAGTTCAAACAAGAAGAAATTAAAAAAAAAAAAAAAAAAATGTAAGAACAAATATTACTTACAATAGTACTTAATAAAATCCAAAAAAAAAATTTAAACAAAAGTGTTTTCAATTGGTATTGGAGGGCAAATTTTTATTTTTTAGTTTTGTTGGTGCAGGCTAACACAACAGAGGAGCTCCCAGAATGTCTTCTTGGAACCTGTCGTCTTAATCATCTGGATGCTTCAAAATCGATTTTGGTGCAACCTTGATTCTGAAGTCAGTAGGGATGGTGGTTATTGAGTTGGACATCAAACACAAGTGGGTGAAGGTGAACAAATAGGCTGAAATGTATTGCATTGCGATCTTTAGGAAGAGAACTCCTTTGTAAATACCAATGATGATCTTTATAGCAGGAGCTCATTCTTTGGAATTCAGGTCTTTGTAGCTGGAGCTCACTCTTTGGAATGCATATAAATTCAATTTAACTCAACTTAATTTTTATTCAAACTGTTTGAGATTTAATTGAGTTGTGTTTAATGTATATTTGTTACAATCGGGCTCAATCTTTAAGATTGTGTTGGTAACTGATGCTAGCGTAAAATTGGTCAAATCTTATCAATTTGAATTATACATTATTGTGATAACTACGAACGCAATGCAGCATGGCACTNTTAATTGACTGTTTGTTTTCTCAGGGGTCATGGATTGTCAAGCAGAGTGTTGGAAAGAAAGCATGCCTTGTGGGTCAAGCACTCGAAATCAATTATTTCCGTGGGAAAAACTACTTGGAGGTAAGTACACGAGTAACTGTAAATTAGAAGGAAGACAAAGTTTCTACTTTTACTTGCATGTTTGCTACTCAGATACTGGCTATGGGTTTATCCCCTTGCACATGCATTGGTCAAAAAAGCAAGAGGGGGAGGGGTGTCCTTATATAAATTATCTTTAGCAGTATAATTCTATATTAGTCTTCATCATAGAGAGTGCCGCCGCAATAAGACTTGAGGCCTATAGTGTTTGTGTTTAGAATGGTCCCTAAAACTCTTTTTTTGGATTGGATTACTTTATTTTTTGTATTTTTGAAGTTCTCACATCGAAATTTGTTGTTTTTAGTATGTATATTTTAGTTAGAAAATTACTTGCAGAACAAACACCTTATATGAATGTTTATATTAAAATTAAAAAAAAATAAATTATAGAGTTCTAGAAAATAAAATTGGGTAAATAAGCCGGAGTCATAGAACTCAAAATAAAATTGAGAGTAGGGTCGCGTATTTTCTTGTAAAAGAATATTGTGCGATTTTCTTTTTGAATTTATTATAAATTTGCATATAAAATTAATTTGTATTTTTGAGACGGAGAAAAACAAAAAAAAGCGAGAAAAAATGCATGAGATATGAAATATAAAGGGGACAAAAGACTTATTAAAGAGAGGAAAAAAACCATGCCATGGTAAGGATACCCATCTTCTTTTATAATGAGCAATAATATCCCAGTACTACAACTGACAGCCTTTTGCAAGAAAGAATTTGACCCTAGGCGAGTGGGGGCACTAGGCAAACGCTGCCAGGGTTTGAGTTGACACTGACCATGAAAAATATAAAATACTAGACTGTCCTTGTTCATAAGATTAATACATAATTACACTGGTGCCTTGATCTGATGCATTGATTGGCAACAGAATAAATTGGAGCGCCTCTATTTAGAAAGAGCTGTCAGATATACTGTGTTGAATTTTTAACATGCATACATAGCATGAGAATTAATCCTATTTCATAATTCATTAAGTATGAAATATTCAATTTTGATTTCAGCTTGGGATTGATATTGGTTCGTCAACGGTTGCAAGGGGTGTGGTCAGCCTCGTTCTTGGTTACCTGAACAACCTAGTCATTGAAATGGCATTTCTTATACAGGTAAATCAGCTATATCATAGTATTTTCTTATACAGGGAAATCAGTTACATCAAATTATTTTTGACAGAAAGTTCTTCAATTCTTTATTTTGTATCCCTTGTGCATAAATTGTCTGAAAATGGCAAAGGCTTGATAATTTCACCATGAATTATCTTTAGTTAAAAATGAAAAGCAAAAGCTAATATACCTGTTGGTAACGTTTTTTAAGTAATTTTTTAAAAGCAGAAAAAAAAAACAGTTTTATCCAGAAAGTAAAAGCATGTTTAGTTGATATTTTGCATTGATGATCTGTATGCATTTTACTATACTAAGATTGACTAGTGTACATGCATATATATATATATAATATAGAGATGCTTCAGATTAGAGAAAGTGACCAAGTTCGAACAAGAAGATATGTGGACACATTTTACTATACGAAGATACACTGGCGTACATGCATATATGTATAATATAGAGATGCTTAAGATTAGAGAAAGAGACCAAGTTCAAACAAGAAGAAATTAAAAAAAAAAAAAAAAAAATGTAAGAACAAATATTACTTACAATAGTACTTAATAAAATCCAAAAAAAAAATTTAAACAAAAGTGTTTTCAATTGGTATTGGAGGGCAAATTTTTATTTTTTAGTTTTGTTGGTGCAGGCTAACACAACAGAGGAGCTCCCAGAATGTCTTCTTGGAACCTGTCGTCTTAATCATCTGGATGCTTCAAAATCGATTTTGGTGCAACCTTGATTCTGAAGTCAGTAGGGATGGTGGTTATTGAGTTGGACATCAAACACAAGTGGGTGAAGGTGAACAAATAGGCTGAAATGTATTGCATTGCGATCTTTAGGAAGAGAACTCCTTTGTAAATACCAATGATGATCTTTATAGCAGGAGCTCATTCTTTGGAATTCAGGTCTTTGTAGCTGGAGCTCACTCTTTGGAATGCATATAAATTCAATTTAACTCAACTTAATTTTTATTCAAACTGTTTGAGATTTAATTGAGTTGTGTTTAATGTATATTTGTTACAATCGGGCTCAATCTTTAAGATTGTGTTGGTAACTGATGCTAGCGTAAAATTGGTCAAATCTTATCAATTTGAATTATACATTATTGTGATAACTACGAACGCAATGCAGCATGGCACTGACTATCCGCTGAATCTAGAAGATATGTTGTGACAAATGATTTATCCCTTATAAATTTTATAGTCTTATCGTAGATGACCTGTCTTTGATCGGATTGAGAACAAAAATTNCCAGACTGTCCGCTGAATCTAGAAGATATGTTGTGACAAATGATTTATATCTTATGAATTTTATAGTCTTATCGTAGATGACCTGTCTTTGATCGGATTGAGAACAAAAATTNAAATTATCTTTAGCAGTATAATTCTATATTAGTCTTCATCATAGAGAGTGCCGCCGCAATAAGACTTGAGGCCTATAGTGTTTGTGTTTAGAATGGTCCCTAAAACTCTTTTTTTGGATTGGATTACTTTATTTTTTGTATTTTTGAAGTTCTCACATCGAAATTTGTTGTTTTTANTTGATAAGGTAAGCTAACTTTGATTTATCTTATCACAATACGAAAAAAAAATGTTACCATCAAGATGATATTGAATTAAAGATATATCAAACAATTATTCTAGGTCAAAGTTTAAAGAGTGAAATTTATTTCAAATTAGGCATGTGTACACAATTCACACCAACTTTAGAATTGAATTAATTGTTATATATAGGACAAGCACCCAAATTTATTGTGGATCGTAAATTTTGTCGAGACTTATTTATTGTCACGTGTTTTGAAAATAATGAAGTGAAGAAAAATACAACTTTTATACGTATCATATTCTGATAGATGAAAAATAAAAAATATAATATTAAAAAATTATTTTTAAGATAGATAATGGGTAAACTTTTAAATAAATAATACAATTGAATATTGTCTCAGTTTAATCACAATATTTTTACTTGAAAATTGATATTTTGATTTATTTTGAAGATTTAATCTAGCAGTTACAAACTCTTGAATTAAAAGTAAATTCTATTTAATATTAAAATTTATAACAAATTTAATTATCATATTGAATTAAATCTCTAATTAAGCCTCTAAATTAAGTTACTATGACATTGCTCTTNTATATATAGGACAAGCACCCAAATTTATTGTGGATTGTAAATTTTGTCGAGACTTATTTATTGTCATGTGTTTTGAAAATAATGAAGTGAAGAAAAATACAACTTTTACACGTATCATATTCTGATAGATGAAAAATAAAAAATATGATATTAAAAAATTATTTTTAAAATAGATAATGGGTAAACTTTTAAATAAATAATACAATTGAATATTGTCTTAGTTTAATCACAAGATTTTTACTTGAAAATTGATATTTTGATTTATTTTGAAGATTTAATCTAGCAGTTACAACTCTTGAATTAAAAGTAAATTCTATTTAATATTAAAATTTATAACAAATTTAATTATCGTATTGAATTAAATCTCTAATTAAGCCTCTAAATTAAGTTACTATGACATTGCTCTTTTTTATTTGGATTCAAATTTACAAAAACCCAACAAAAGAACCGATTACTTGTAGGCTGCCACCACTTGGATCATCTTCCACTATTACTTGTAGGCTGCCACCACTTGGATCATCTTCCACTATTAATTAAGTCTTTTACTCGGATTTAAATATAAGTAAAAATTAGTTTAAAAGAAAAAAACTCTAGTCATTTACTGAAGCTCACATTAAATGAAAATGACTCAGCTTTTTACTAAAATCTTTAATGAGATTTTATTTTCTTTTAAAGATCTAATAGTCATGTTTCGTCGTTATTCAAATTTAATTTTTTTTTAATTTAAATTTGAATTTATTAAATTTAATTTGTTATTCAAATTATTAAAGTTGACCTAACACGAAGTGGTGGGATCCACTCACACTTGTNGGATTCAAATTTACAAAAACCCAACAAAAGAACCGATTACTTGTAGGCTGCCACCACTTGGATCATCTTCCACTATTACTTGTAGGCTGCCACCACTTGGATCATCTTCCACTATTAATTAAGTCTTTTACTCGGATTTAAATATAAGTAAAAATTAGTTTAAAAGAAAAAAACTCTAGTCATTTACTGAAGCTCACATTAAATGAAAATGACTCAGCTTTTTACTAAAATCTTTAATGAGATTTTATTTTCTTTTAAAGATCTAATAGTCATGTTTCGTTGTTATTCAAATTTAATTTTTTTTTAATTTAAATTTGAATTTATTAAATTTAATTTGTTATTCAAATTATTAAAGTTGACCTAACACGAAGTGGTGGGATCCACTCACACTTGTCTGCAACCCTGCCTCTCCAACGACTCGGAAAGGCCCCTGGCGTCCAAAAACAAACACCTAAATTGGTCGATAAACTATCCTTTGATAAAAGTCTTACATTAGTCCAAGGTTCCTTCAGATCATATAAATTTCGCTGCCTTATTTAGTACACGGATTGGTGAGAGAGAGAGAGAGAGAGCTGGGATTTGGATTTTCCCGGAAAATTTTGCAAGTTTATGTGATCGGGCGAGAACGTGTGGGAAAATCATCGGTGTCGTGTCTGACCCCGAGGAGGGGGTGGAGGGTGAGTTGTGTACTGTGGACCCACCCTCTCAAATGGTGAGCTTTGTCTGGTAGAGTCCCAACACGATTTGAGGGAATTTATGAGCACGAGATTCCCATTTTCTATACAGGTGAGTTAGGCCATTGTCGGTCTTTTTGAGTTTTGACACACACCCATTTGTTTGTATTGACATGTTCGATTCTCTCCTCTTTCCCTGTCTGCACTCTGCAGCATAATTAGGGTTTTCTCGGTATGTTTCGTAACGAGAGAAACATTTCTGGTCTGTCAGAATTGCCCCTTTTCCATTTCTGGTCTGTCAAACTACAGAAAGTTGTCGATTTTTCTTATTATTTGATAAATATTTTATTGTTAAGGTGGAGGTTGAGGTTTGTTTGTTTTGGTTTAATTAATTTTGTTGAAAATTGTTGAGGAATTTTTTTTTTATGGAAACAGTTGATTGGAAGTGGTTTGATTGGGAATGAGGTGTTCAAGTCGTGCTCTTAAGTTCGCCGTATTGCTGTTGCTTCTTCTGTTTGGTATGTATTATTAGCACCCAACAATTTCCTTTATTGTTCTGGTTTAATGGCTGATTGGAAGTTTTTAAACACACACACACACATATACATATATGTACAAGATTTTTTTTTTTCTTCTTAAAGTTGTCATTGAACTAACCGAGGAAGCATATTTAATTCTTCTATGGCCTCATCAATGCAAAATCCAGCAAAATAGGGAAGTGTCATGTCAAAGATTTCTTTTTTTGAAAATGGTTCTTATATATATCTACATGCACACACAAAGGCTACAAGGTGATTATATTCTTCCCTTTGCTCAGTTTTGTGAAAACAACGATCAACTTGTACATTTTAAGAAAACATCTAGGGTTCCTTCTATGACAGGATCTTACTCTTCTTTTGGGTTTGAAAAAAGACACGTTCTATTCTATCTGGTAGAGTCAACAAAATGGAGTTCCTTTTTCGTAACTCCTGCCATTTTTCTTTCCTTAGACATTTTTGGGTTTGAAACTGGAATCAAATATATCCGTTTTCTGTCTATACTAATCAGGATGTTGTCTCTGCCTATCTGGTGTTCCTATATTTTAGTACAATTTCTCTATGATTTTGGCTCGATGGTTTCCATATGAGCTTCATAGATAGAGTGAAACCAACTTAGTTATAAACATAGAGCGACACCTTACTAACAGATAGTGGATTTTTCTGCATATACTTGGGGGTTGTTTGGTAATGTTTTTATTTCCGCGTTTTCAAAAATATAAAAAACAGAGACAATTTAAAAAATAAAAAATAGAGACAATTTTTGTTTTATTTTGTGGTAAACACTGAAAACAAAAACATGTTTGGAAGTCATTTGTGTTTATCAAATAACAAAAATAAAAACAAAAAATATATTTAATAACCACTTCAAGTATATCCTTAATATTAGCTTTATAATAATCATTCACTAACAATTAAGTGTTGTGAAAAGTGAACCTAGGCGTGAAGCGAAGCGAAGAGAGTCTTGGTCGCCTTGAACATCTCAAGCAAAGAGAGGTTAAGTAAAACGAGAAAAAAACGAGCTTAAGTGACGAAGCGAAGAAGTGAGTTAGGCGAGAAAAGCGATCTCCTGACTTTAGTTTTTTTTTCTCCTCCTCCCTTATCTGTTCCTCCTTCCTTAACATTAACCAAACCCTATCAAAGATAATGTTATATGTGTATATGTATAAAATAAATTGATTGATTCATCTAACAGTAACATATGACAATATGTCTTGTTATGATTAGATGATGTTGAATACTCTGTTTTGTTGTGAATGCTTTTGTTAATCAATTTATTTAGTTAATCAAATTGATTAATCAATTTGTTATATGTTCTATTTGATTAATCAATTTGTGAGTACTCTGTTTAGTGGTGATATTAATCAATCATAGTAGAAGTCAAACCTACATTTTCTAGTTTTACATTTAGATGCCGTGATTGTGCCAATTGATTATTTTTAGAATGTAGTAATGTTCAATATTTAATATCTTGTCTATTTAAAATATGTTAATTTTTATTATTTTGGTTGTATTTAAATATTTTGTATTTGTAAAAGTAAAACTTAAATATTAGAAGTAATCAAAGTATCAAACTAAAATATGTGCTTATTTTTTATATTATTTGCTTTACTTCGATGAAGCGCTCGCTTCGCTTGTCGCTTTTCGCCTAGGCCCTCAGGAGATCGGTTCGCTTTATGCCTTAAATAACACTCTTACAATTCTATATTACATATAAATTTCAACCCAACAATTCTATAGGAATTTCAACCCAACAATTCTATATAACATAGAACCATTCACTGGCCATTTTTTTTTTTTCAGAAGAAAAAATTTTATTTCAAAAGTTGGTCAATTACAAGAATCAACAGAGAAACACAATCAGTCAATTTCATCACAATACAACAAAATCAATTCTCCCAGCTAAACCAAAAAAAGCTATACAGTATACCCATCTTCACTCTTCCTCTTTACAAACCAGCCAAAATGCAGTAGAAGCTCCAAATCAGACTGCAATAGCAAACAATACTGCACATCAAATTGCAGTAGAAAGCCATACAGCCCAACCCTTATCATAAAAAACACCACATTTTTCACAACCATTCACTAACCATTCAACCCAACATATATTCAACACTCACACACAACACACACACTCACACATAGAACTAGCACACAGTCAAACACATTGACACACAACTAAGGATCAAAATATCGTTTCGAAACGGTTGAAACGTTTCCGTTTCCAAGGAGACTGAAATGAAACAGTGATGAAATCGAAATTCTGATATTTCGAGGTATTCCATAATGTTTTTAAATGTATTATAATATTTTAATGCATTTGCACAATTGTTTTAAAATGTTTTAGAAAAATAATTCTTAAATTTTTTATTTTTTTCATTATATTTCTGAAACGGGTCGAAACGTTTCTGTTTGTTTGCTAGGTGATCGAAACAATACACCTAAACGATATTTTAATCTTTGCACACAACACACACTTAACACACACACACCTCAACACAAAACGCACACTCAGCAGTCATCACACATACACAGAACACACACTCACACAACAACTTGAGCAGGAACAGGTTTCCACAGACACTTAGGTGGTGTTTTACACAAAGATTCACATAAATTTCAGCATATGGAAATCAAATATGCAAATTCATAGCCATAATTGCAAATTCATTAGACATACTTAAAAAATCAAATATGCAAATTCATACCCATGATTGCAGATTCATAGCCATACCCAAAATTAAACACACACACATATGAGGTTGTTGCTTTCAATGGTTTGACAGAGGCGAGACACAGACAAATCGACAGAGGCAAGAGAGAGACTCACACACACACACCCCCCCTTACAAATCAACACACCTGTACCCATAAATCGATACACGTCCACACCCACAAATAGACACACACACAGAGACACATGCACACAAAATTTAACTCAAATCTAACAAAGAAACAAGTGAGAGAGTGACAGAGACAGACCTTCGGGTCTTTGTTGCACAGATAGAGGCGAGAGAGCCCTCTGGTCTTCGTTGCAGAGAGAGAGAGGTGAGAGAGGGCTTCAACCTTCGTTGTTCCGACAAAGGCGAGTCTCGTTGCACAAACAGAGAAGTGAGAGAGAGAGAGAGAATGACGATGTAGAAAAAGGCACCGTTCTTCGGCTACAGAGAAGAGAGAGAGAGGCATCATTCTTCGGTTACAGAGGATTATTATACTTCAACGAAAAAAATATGTGTTTTGTTGCTAAGAAGACTCGAAGTCTGGATCTCATTAACTCCTCCCCAACTCCGCGCGCTTGTTTCTGCTTACTTTATTTCTTGGAACATCTTTTTTTTGTTTCTTGTTTTTGTGCCTTGCCTTTAAAACAACTTATCTTATATAAAATAGAAACACAAAACCAAGCACGCATGTTTTTATTTTTATTTTTTGCAAAAAGTGAAAACAAAAACAAAAAACACGAAACAAAAATACCAACCAAATGCACCCTTAGTTCTTTTGTTTCGTTGACAATAGTTAATTCTTTTTGTTGTTTCCCAGTTTCTACCACAGAAAATGCATCTCCTGCTGAAGATGATTTTGAGCAGTGCAATAATACTGTCAAGAAGTGGGCATCTTCTTCCCTTGATGTAGAAGTAAAAGAAGACAAACATATACTGGGGGACTTACTGTTTTTCCTTCATGTTCCAAGAACTGGAGGGCGGACATACTTCCATTGGTAAATTTCACGGATACGAAGCAGTGATCACTTTTTTATCTTTCCCATTTGACTAGTGCAATTACTTTTATATTTGCAGTTTTCTGAAAAAGCTGTACAGTAGCTCTTTGGAATGCCCGCGTTCTTATGATAAGTTACGGTTTGATCCAAGGTAAACTCTTCTTCTCCTATAGTTTATGTCACGAGAATTACATGTCTCAATCACAATGGCATGTGGCAATCACCACATGGGTGCAACCACTATTTTGTACACACTAGAGTGCCTTATCATTAATCAAACCACTTTGGTGGAGCTTGTGAACATGTCAGCTAAGCAATTCCTTGTAGACACTCAAATGCTTGATGCTTGCCAAGGTTATGGGCAGGAGGAGGAGGAGGAGGTGTTAGAGATTAGCGTGCTTGGTAGTGGAATATAGCATAGAAGAGATAGAACTGTGAACATGGCAATCAAGTCCACCTTGTGATCAGTATGTTGTGCTAGTGATTATTTTTTTTGTATTTCAATTGAAAAAGATGAAGGAAGGGTTTAGGAATAGAATTAGGGTTGACATAGTTGAGGTCCAAACACCTATTTTGGTATGAAATTCAGGGAGCTTAATTATTAATAAATCAGCAACGCATAAATACTTATTTGGTAACTGTCATCGTCAGTTATCATGGGTGTTATTATTGGTCATTAAAAAATTGATTTTGTAGGCAGCTCTAAATGGTGTAATTTTGTTTTCTTGTGCAGCAAATCTAATTGCCGGTTATTGGTCACTCATGATGATTATAGCATGATGTCCAAGCTTCCTCGGGAGAAAACTTCAGTGGTGACAATACTTAGGAACCCAGTTGACCGTGTCTTTAGTACTTATGAATTTTCAGTAGAGGTAGCAGCTAGGTTTTTGGTGCATCCTAACTTAACATCTGCCACCAGAATGGCTGGACGGTTACGTTCAAAGACAAAAGCAGTAAGCACACTGGATATTTGGCCATGGAAGTATTTGGTTCCCTGGATGAGAGAGGACCTGTTTGCTCGGGTATGGTTGTCCTACGTTTATTTATTGATTACCTTGTTTGTCAGTATGTAGATTTTTCCATCTAGTGCTTTTGGTGTTTACTTTTTCTCCACCAGGGATCCTTTCGGTACAAGACATTTAGCTGTCATAGAAAACAAAATCTCACCATTTACATCTTAATATTTTCACTATAATGCACCAAATTTAGCAATTGCCTTTTCAGTATTTCTTTCTTTACTTTATTAGACAGCTCAATTCAGCTCAGCTATGTCAAAACTTGGGACATGTGAAGTTTGTTTCACCATTGCATACTGTTGGATGCATACGTTCTCTTAAACTTTGAATTCCCTCCATGTGGACCTAGTTAGTCATAACACAGGTGTAGTTAATGGCTGTGGTTGTATATGTCCAAAGAATCTTTAGATAGTTTGTACCTGCATCTTGATCGCAGTAAATTTTTAAAGGACAAGATCCTAAGCCTGACACTTGGAGAAATCAATAAGATGAAAATTCGGGTATAATTATTAAAACTTTGGTGAACAGAAAAAGCTATGGCATAATATGTGTAATGATGAATGAGAGGTCCATAGTTCATCAAGAGCCTGTGGTATGAAGTATTTGTGTAGTTTTATGGTTTCGAATTTTACTATATCAATCTTTTTGACAGGTTAACAAACCCCAATGTATTTTAATGTTTATTTTCCATTGGTCATCTACTAGTAATTAAAAGAGAAGGCATTTAGAGAGAATGAGGTTTGCATTCACAAGTATCTCAACATATTCAATTACACTGTTTTTATTGGATATACTTACCACATTCCCTATCCTTTTCCTTCCACTGCTGCATGCTAAACCTCTACCTTCCAGTATGCAATAATCTAAGAACAAGTGAGCTGGAAAGATACTTGCTATTAATTCTTTGCTAAGTGCAACGTAATATTCCATATTTTGTATCTTTGTGTTTGCACTGACTAGTGGTAAAATATTTTGTATTTGCCTCAGGTACCTTGTGTCAGGATGATTGTCATAGATCTGAACACTAATATATTTGCAACAGTATCCGCGTACTTGTGTGATGATTAATAAATACTGAATATAATAATTAATCAAGCAATCCTATAATAGGGATCTATTCCCTCCCGTCAGCACTGAAACTTGTATTCACATTTACTTTCGTGGGTTGGCATCCATGTAGAAAGTGACAGGATATATGAGTTTCTTAGGCTTACCATGGCTTTATCTAGAAGTCCGAGTGATGAGGGAATGGTGATGAGTGGACGTGTCCTGTTGTTAGATTGTTGTATGTGGGTTATTATTCAGAAAGTTTGAGGATCAGGGTGCATAGAAAAATAGGTCTATATTTATTTTCAGTCTACCATATCTGACAAGTATTTTTATTAAAATATTGCTCCGAATGCATGTCTACGTAGTGACTTATATGCTCCATTATGTTCATTTTGTGTTGCATATGATACCTGATTGGTCTTTAACTTTTGTTTTGATGGACAGAGGGATGCCAGAAAACGTCAGGGTCAGGGTCCAACTTATATTAAAAGCAATGATTCATATGATGTGGAGGGCATTGTAATGCCATTGCATGAGTATATTAATGATCCCATAGCTCGGGACATTATTCACAATGGAGCCACATTCCAGGTATTGTAGCTTATGTCTGCATTGGCAGCTGGAACTTTTGGCTGTTTTTATTCTTGTTTTGGTTGCTTCATTCATAGCTTAGGTTATGTGAATACTAGACATGGCTTAGGAGAACTATGGATTCTATTGAAGTCCTAACAATTGTATCTATCAACTAATGATGCAACCTTTAGCCCTCTTATTTTCACCACTTACGAAGAAAACTTGTTGAGATTCCATAAATGTTTGTTTATTTTGTTTTTCAGTTCCTAAGGGAATGGTTGTAACAATGATGGAACTTTATTGCACTTCTTTTTTTAACCTTAAACTCTATAACTGAAAAAGAATGTCCAGTGTGCATATTTGTTAATTTAATTAGCTAACTCCAGTTTCTAGTTGCTTGGTGAAATGATCGAAGCTCGAGCTAGCAGATTTGAGGTAGTGCGATTGCATTTACAGGCCACATTTGAGTGGGTATAATACATTGGTAGCTAGTCTCCCAGCACCCTTATGGACCAAACTGGCCGCTGAACAAATAAATAATTAAATTTCACTGATCTTTAGACCTACCACGTGTACATGAGTCCGTGTAAGGTAGAAACCTACAATAGTTTTCCACTTTGAAAAGTCAATTTACATATTATACTTGTATTGGTTGTCTTAAATTAACCTTTCAAGATTGAGTGTAAAATTGGGAATGAATTGAAGAGTGTGAATAAATGGTTTCGGAATTTGGTTTCCTTTGAGTGTGAATGCATTAAAGTTTCTGTCTTCCCTTTGAGTGTGAATGCATTAAAGTTTCTGTCTTTGAAAGGCCGGGTTTTCTAAGATGGACAAAAAGATTTGTATGAAGGGGTTATCATTTGTAGAAGAAATATAACAAAATTTGCGTTCCTTTGGTTCTTTGGCTTTTGTTTTCAAAAGGATATAGCCTTTGTCAATACAATCATCTTACTATTTTTAATACTGGCTCTGTATTGTATTGTTGGTCCATCGCAATCCATTTCTTTGAGGGGAAATAGCATTTTCAGTTGATCTGGGAATTTACAAATTTCATAAACTCTGCCTTCATTCGTGGTAATTAACAAATTTGTAATCAACTAGAAAGGGGTAATAATAGGAAAGCTGTTCCATTTGTTAAATTTTCAAAGTGAACATCTAGTGTGGGACATCCAAAAGAGGTAGGTGGTCTCCAAAAAATTGGGTTGGAGCTGTTATTAGTCTCAAAAGTAATAATGATGTCTGACTTGAGTTTCACAAGTAATATCATGGGCGTAATTAAACAATTGGGAGATGACATTGTGGTATTCTATTGAGCACTAGCCATCTGAGGGATCTACTGCAAATCTGTGCGCTGGTTTGTAAAGGGGATATCTCAAGTTTTCAAAATTTAATCTGTATTGGAAAATCGTGGTCTAACTAACCCTGACATTCTATTTGTCATGTCCATTGTTGAGAGATGTGGAAAGAATCCTATTGGATTGCTGAAAGAAATAATCAAGTACAGGAATGATGTTGTGAGATGTATAAACACGGATCTTTGAAATTTTTTTCGGGTTCGTGCTTCTCAAAAGAGCAGTAAACAAATTGTTTTGTTTCTAATATTCTGTTTTTCTTTACAGGTTGCAGGACTTACAAACAACTCTTGTCTAGCAGAATCACATGAAGTGCGCCGTTGCGTGCTGAAACATCAGATTCTCGGTGAATATGTGCTTGAAGTTGCTAAGGTAATGACAAAAATTTGCTGTAAGTAGTGTATGATAATGGATAACAGTCCTAATATTCTGATACATTGTCTTCTCCCTTGAAGTTGCAATCATAATAGATCCTTATATCTTGCAGAAGAGGTTGGATGGTATGTTATATGTTGGACTCACGGAAAACCACAGAGAATCAGCCACAATGTTTGCAAATGTGGTTGGTGCACAAGTGATTTCACAATTCACAGCATTGGGCTCTAGTACAAAGTTTGTGGCTGATAACAATTCTGGTCAGTTTTGTAAAGTATTTTTAGCTCTCAGACATGGACTTTTTGTTTTTAGACATCTATTTAATCGAACTCTTTTAGTAGATGAGTAAGATCAAAATACAAATAGTCAAATAAATCAATAGGAACCTTCCATTGTGAGGAGAATGAAAATATTTGAACCCTATTTATTCCTGGGGAAGATTGGGACCGAATATCATAAATTGAGAAGTCATATATTATATTCATTTAAATTCCTATTCAACAGGATTTAATTTAACAGGTAGTGTTTATCTTTCAAAAATAATAGCAACAATGTAAAGTTACTGAACAGATTCAGGACAGTAAGGATAATTGTATGTGTTGGTGCTTGTCCAAAAATCCAAATTATTTTACCCGTTAATGTCAACAAGGAGTGATAGGAGAACCTGATTTCTTGCATTTTGCTGGCTTAGAATTGAGGTGGCTTCTGATGGACTCGGCCTGTTTCAGTTTCCTGTATTTGTTTGTCTATCATCAGAAAATTTAGTGTTCATTATTGAATAAATCAAAAATGTGTAGAACGAAAATGGTTGTTATCTTTAGTTTCTTGAGTGCTCCTTTCCTAGAGGGTCATGGTTTAGTGTTGGTGACCAAAGCTTGTAAATTATGATACCATGACTACAGAATGCTTGTGACAGAATTTTTACTTTACACAATATGTGCCTATGCTCCTGTTATCTCCCACTCTTCGCAATGCATGGAACCCTGTTTGTAGTAGGCTTTGGACTTATTTTGCAGGCACCTGTATTTGTCTCCTTGCTTTTCCTTTGTTTTTTTTTTTTTTTTTTTGATTTTCTTTCTTTAGTTTTCTCTGAATGCAGCATACTATATGACAGTCTTTGGTTATAGTTGGCCAGAAGAATGCAATCTTAGACTTACGGTGTATTGTGTTTATACCCCATCCCTATTTCCTCATCCTGACCTACACGGTCAATCCCACCCAGTTAGATATCGGGCTTAGTCCCCATATGGAATTTCTTTGCATAATATCAAGATTGGATGAAGTGATAGATCATGTTTTGGAGGTTGATGATTCCAAAAATGAAAATATAGCAAGGGTGAATGAATCCCCTTTCTTGCAAACTCTAGACATAGCATAACTTTGTGGTTCCATTGTAGCTCTGCATTCAGCTGTTAATAACCGTGACGAGGTTTCTTTCTTGGTTGCTCATATACAATAGGACTTTTTTTAATACTTGTGTAGGGCAAAGAAATTGCTTTTTGCGGAAATGAAGCATTATGGGCTTCTGTGCAGCTATTTCTGGAGATATTGCTTTATCTCTGAACTCTTAAAACATGGCAAGAAAAGAAGTGTAATGTTTAAAAGAATTCCATAGTGAACGTGTTAAAGTCGTCAAATTTCTTTTCTAATGTCATTTGATTCATAGTGTGAGTGATGTGATGGGATCATAGCTTTTTCTCAAACATCTCTACTTGTGCCGCAGAACAGCACTCTTCATTTCCAGATGGCGAGGAGTCTGAGATCAGTGATCATCAGGTAATAGTTTGGCATCCTTCTGCTTCTGGGAAAAAAAAATAATAAGTGGCATCCTTCTGCTTTTCAATAAATTGCAATGCTTGAAATATCAAGTGGAGCCGCCTCCATGGTACCTCATTTTGCATGCACAAACAGAATAGCAGCACTTACCAACAGCCAAGGAAAATTTTATCTGCTGAAAATGTTGAAGCAAAAAAGGAAAATGTAAGCCCACATTGCATTATAATGTTGTCACTGTTCATGCTTGCCTTGTGACTAAGAGTCCTTGTATCATCATATCAGATGACAGCAGGAAAACTTATGGAAGCTTATGAGACCTGTATTTCAAGCTTACGAAAGACCCAAGCACTACGTCGCACAGCTTCTCTAAAGCGAATTTCCCCAGCAAACTTTACGAAGGAGGTATTGCTGCAATCAATTTCTTCAAAAACTAGCTGAGTTACTTATTATGTTACTCGATCTTCTTCCATCATCTATTGTGCGGGGTTTGT